CAGTCCTTCCCCTCTGCCTGCACCCTATACTGCCATCCAGTGCTGCCCTGTGCAATGTATTCAGAATTTCACTTGCAAATTATTAAATACAATTTTGGTTAAGATAATTTTTTGTATCTTGACAAGTACGTAGATTGTCGTGAGGGACAAGTAGATTGGACCCCCACTTCAGTCCTTGGACAGGTAGTATTTTTTTACATTTTCCACACCCCTGCAGTTTATTCCTTTAAGCGGTATTTAGGTACAGTCACTAGCCTGGAACTCAAGGCCTGCTGTTTATATAATAAAAAGGGACCTTTTTTTGGAAACTTTATACTGTTGCTGAATATTGTGACATGTCAGGAACATATTCATGCAAACTTGCTGAAAGATGCAAAGTTACTGTACTAATGAAAACATATGATAACATGCATTAGAAGATGTTGCCCTCTGTAAAAACTGCACAAAAACCCTTTTCTGTCAGAGGTATCTTTGTTCTTGGGATATTAGTTTGTTCTCACTAAAAATGTGGCATTGCTATCTATACACAAAACAACTTTTCAAATTTGACAACTGGAAAACAACAAATGTTTGTTCATACAGACCAATTTATAGAGCAAGGTATGCTTTACATATTCTTATTTTACTACAAATTACTTCCTGTGTTTACCAATGCAACATGCTCATCAACACCTCATGTAAATAGTTTGATTAGTTACAATTTGAATTGATAAATAAAAGTGACTCAGTGCATATTAACATTCAACAGGCATGCAAACTTACAGGGCTATTCACTAAAGGGTGAAGGGTTTGGAGAAGGCAGGACAAGTGAACAATCTAGGACAACATAGCTTTTCTAAAATCAGCTAGGTTCTCCTAGACCAGGGGTCAGCAACCTGCGGCTCCGGAGCCGCATGTGGCTCTTTCATCCCTCTGCTGCGGCTCCCTGTCCAGGGGCTGCACCGAGGCCTCTGGGCCTGAGGCTGGGGGGGGTGGGGGGCAGTGAGGTCTGGTCCTGGGCACCCCCCCTCGTGGAATATGTGGCAGTGCAGGGTCCCGGAGCCCCGCACTGCTGATGGGCTTCCCAGCAGGGGGTGGGTCCTGTGACTCAAGT